CCAAAACCCCAAAACCCCAAAACCCCAAAACCCCAAAACCCCAGTTATTATAATTTTGGCTGAAGATATATAAATACGAGTGGTTTGGTAAACCATCTTGTGAGCGTCTCCATCTAGTAGGGCTTGCAGATATATAGGAAGACTCTTTGGGAATTTTTAAAATTTTACATAAGAAATTACTCAGAGTTCTTACGAGCTGCCTTCAAAACCTCGTGTTTTCTCATATTCCTGAGTTGATTTCAGTATTCCTTTTTATCTTTCCAGATATCCTGCAGGCTGCAGTAAATGATTCCAAACACTTTGTTGCTTCCCATCTATAACAATACCAATAATTTCCGAAAAGCATGTAATTTGATAAATTTCCAAAGTTGGGATAAGTATACTAATTTTGATAATTTCTAAATATTTATCCAATATGTGAGCGAGCATTGAGAAGCATCTCTGAGAATATTACTTACTTTTGGGTCAATCTTCTTGCACCTGGTTAGGTATTCTTTATTCTATACCACCATTAGGCTTCTGTTTAGAAATATGACCCCATAGAATTAATAAATGAACTGGTTATAAATTTGTAAACCCAGAATTAGGGTCAAATTATTCACAAAATGTCAGATGTTGTAAAAACCATGATAACTTTAGTATAGTAGTTGCAGGTTTTTACACCCTAAATGGGAATAATAAGTTTAGTCATCACTATAGCCAAACCTCCTTACGTTTAGGACACCCATGTTGAGATTTGTCCTGAAGAACTGTGTCTCATATTCCATTATTCCAATCCTCTTTGGAGATGATCTCTGTGTTTTAGGGTTTACTATCTTTGAATCTCTTTTACATAGAAGAGGTCTAGGCTGAGAGACGCTCCTCCCACTAGCTTTACTAACTAGAACTTCCTTGTTTAGAGATTGGAGAGACCCTCTAGAACTAAAGCGTTTGGATCTTTTGAGTTCTCTAAAATTAGAGTTTGAACAAAGAAATATAAAGAAATCTCACCTATTCGGAAGCCTTAATTTGAATGAGCTATTTCAACGCTTGGTAAAGAACATTTGGCTTTCATTCTGTTTCAAATCCAAATTTATTTGGGAAAGTCTGACTTTGTTATTTAGAAAATCTGTTCTTTCTCAATTGTTCAGAATACTTCTTCATCGATTTCGTGTCGAACAAGTTTTTGATATCTTGAATTGATCTTCCCTTATTTCCTTTTAGATGGAGCTATAAAGTATGTGTTATTCGCAATGAAGGTTTTATTTCTCTCATGAGGAGATAAATCTATCTCTTTAATAATGTGCCATTATGATAAAATACTAAGTGCTTCTGACTTTCAAATGTAGCAAGCACTTGTTAGTAAAGTCTTTTCTTAGAAAGCTAACTTACTTTGGTGTTCACATTGATTCTACTGATGTGGCTGCTATTAGATCTACTCATATTTCTCAAGCAATAAAAATTAATATTCTATAGTTCTGCAGGCTTATGGGGTTTTGGGGTTTTGGGGTTTTGGGGTTTTGGGGTTTTGGGG